GTCCAGGGCAACTCACCTTCTCTCTTCAATATCCCTATTTCTTATTTGTTTATCTAAACCTATTTGAAACCTACTCACACTCCTCGCTGGTTTCCCGCACTGTGGCGGGAGTGTTGATCCAAGACTGCGGTCTAATCCGAAAACCTCTCCCTTCGGGTCCTATCGGAGTAAACCTATCGCTACGTAGGATCATTTCCTTACTGCTTGCTTCATTGATGTCACGAAATCGCTGCCACAGCATCCGTGTTACGCAAGGCATTATGTTCTAAATTCTACTTCAAGACTTTTATAGCACATATACACCAGGCTCAATGAACAAGTCCCTAAAGTATGGATCCTCAATTGGAATGCCAACTTAAGTTTACACTGCAGTTTCCCTTATCGCATGTGCACCGAGTATATCTCGTGGTCAATTCTTTACTTCATGGATCACGTCTATGAGTAAATTTATCTACTAAGAGCTAATTAGAAATTGCCACCACAGTTTATCTCGCTATTCTATCCCTAAAGACAAATATAAAACTTTCTCTTGGATACCGACCCCAAAATGTGATAGTTCTACTTGATTAGAATAGGCTCACAGTAGACGTCTTCACTTGGCTTCCGATTGCTCCTCTCTAGTCTCCTTGTAATTTTTTCTTTAAATTAAAAATATTATCTTTGTCCAGTCATCTTCTCTTTACTGATATTGCAGTAACCTGGTGTTCTCCGAGTTTGCTTAGGCAATATGCAAAGTTTTCACTAATCATGCATTATTCAAGTCTCCTGTTCATTAGATTTCTTTCAGTCAGGATATCGATAGTTTCTCGTATTCTGCATTATCTTTTATTTCCATCATATGCAGCCAACCTTGCTGTAGATTTCCAGTCTATCCCGTGTCCCCTATTTCGGATCTTTCAGTGTCCATGTTTCTGTTTTCTTTGGTGTACCTTGATTCGTAGGCTGATTTTTCTTCCTATTTGACCCATATTCTTCTGCTCACAATTGTCGCATTTGATGCTATAGACTCCCGAACAATCAAGTTAGTCAACCTTCTCGTGTTGCGTCGGCAGGCTTTTGAAAAATGTTGTCCTTTCTTATGTTATCACCTGGATATTCCATTTTTTAGCAACAGTCGCAATTTCCTTCTCAATTCACAGAAGAGCAGGCATATCCTATTTCTATCGTCCTCCCGATTTCTTATCTTATTTTTGTAAAATCCTAGTTTAATTCTGTTCTGTATGACCTCTATATTCCTTTTTCGTACGTAAATAGTTTCGAGACTACCAGTAAATCAGTAATATGAGACGTATTCACCCTATTTCGTTTAAGGTGATGAAGGACTGGTAACATAATTTTTCCACAATGATATGAGTAGAGCTGACATTTCCATTGACTTTCACATAGCCTTGCTTTCCCAGAAGTTGTCCTCATCCAGGCTGGAGTGGACTGCAGTTTCGACCTCGCATAGGTGACACAAGGGCACTCATGAAAATGTGGCCGAGTGGTTAATGTATCAAGCCCACATGCTGCACTGTCACGATTTGACTCCGGCAGGGGGTTTTTATAAGATCTATGCGAGGTCGAAACTGCAGTCCAGCCTGAATGACAACTTTTGGAAAAGCAAGGCTCTGTGAAATTCAATGGAAACGTGAGCTCCACTCATATCATTGTATAAAAATTCTACTACCAGTCCTTCATCACCTCAAATGAAATAGGGTGAATACATCTCTTAAAAATACAAAGTAGTCGTCCAGGTATCGTATAAGCACGGTGACTTCACGAATTCTTTCTCCAACTTGTTCATGTATAAATTTTCTAAGAGGTAAGAATGGTAATCCCATCGGTAGTGCAAATATTTGCTCATATTTGCAGTTGAATGTAGGATATATTGTACTTACTGTGAGGTTAATTAGTCGTGTTAACGACTCCTTCCGTATCCGCTCTTCTTCCAGAATATCCTTCTCTCGTTCCAAGACCTCCAGAAGAGCGGTGACCGCCTTCTCGCCTATGTTTGCGTGCATGGTCTGTACGTCAAAGCCTACCAACATTTCCGTCCCTGCCAGTCCAATATTTTGGATCCTTTGAGAAAATTTATATGAATTATTCACGGTGTTCAACAGTCTATCGTTTACGTTAGTAAGCTTAAATCATATAAATTTCGCTAGCTTGTATCGCCTCAAGCTTGCTTTTGACTATTAACCTTAGTGATTTTCATTCCTTGTGTATCTCCAGTAACCAGTAGACTGTGATAGATCTTACGTCATTTTCTATTCAGGGAATTCATCATCCGTCTGTCTATTTCTCCTTTGTTAGGCAGTTCCTTTACTTTGTTAGTATTTGATAAGTGTACCTGTCACCTAGGATACTTTCCATTTTCTCTGTGTACTGTTGCCAATAAATCACCAACGTTGCACCTCACTTATTCGCCTGAAGAACCACTTAGTCGCTTACTTGTAATTTTCTACGTATCTTTATCAATTCACTCATGTTCATTAGCTCTTGATTGGACAGATTTCT